AGTCCTTAGCCTTTTTCAAGGAGGCAAGATCTTTAGCATGAACATCAATGTTTGCACCAATTTTCAAGCATAGTTCATCATTTCGTGTTTCCTCGTATTGGACTTTCCACTCAAGGATTTCATATTTTTCCTTTTCCTCGGTGACGAGGGTTTCGAGTTCCTTAATGGTGATGGTGTGCTTACTCACCATCTCCATAAGCATACGAAACATAGTGAGCTTCTTTCCTTTGAGGGAGCACATGAACTTATTAGGTTTAGCAAGCATAGGATCATCTATATCATCATCCTCATAACTATCCTCCGCATCAAGATACTCATCACTAGGAGTAGAAGGAGTGAAGAGAGGAGGATTTGATCGTGGGGTTACCTTGACCTTGTCCGGAGAGCTTTGGTCCTCTCCATCTTCCACCACAGCCTTTGCCATAAGGCACTTGTGAGAGTTGCCCTTGTAGTCCTTCATGTAGTTGTAGGTGACAACATCACCACTCTTGTTGAGTAGCCTCAACGTGTTTTGAGAATCTTGAGCAACTCCGGCAACACCACTAACATCATCTAGATCGGATTTTTCAAGAGCAACCATTGCTCTCCCATCTCTCTTCTTGAGCTTGGAGTTCAAAGGATTTGGCAACTTCTTCTTGGGAAAGGTCTTGGGAAACCTTGGTTTATCTTCTCTCTTCTCATAAGGGCACTCGTTGGAGAAGTGATTGGTTTCTTCACAGTTGTAGCATTTTCTCACTTTCTTCTTTTGGAATCTTCCTTTGAATTTTCCCGCACTAAACTTCTTGACAAAGAGGGCCATATCTTCATATGAAGGGCCCTCATCAGATTCAATCTCATCACCATCTTCATCCTCATCATCTTCTTTTTCTTCTTCACTTTGCTCATCTTCACATACATGCTTGGCCTTCAATGCAAGATTGATCTTTGATGTTGAGGTACCATGCATGGCAAGATGTTTTGTAGCATTTGCCTTTGACTCTTCAAATAGCTGGAAAGTGGATATGATGTCATCCGGGGTCATTTACTTGAAGGCATGATGTTGTCTTATGTCCCACACCATTTGGTGATGATAGGGAGCAAGAGCATGGAGCAGTTTGTCCACAAGAAATTTCTTAGTTATGTTGAATCCATCTTGTGTCTTGTCACACTCACACAACTCAATGTCAGAAGTGAGAGTCATGAGACGCTCAATAAGTTGATTGGGAGATTCACCTTTCTCCATACAAAAGTTTTGTAATTGCCCCTTGGCAATTTCATATTGAGCAAGTCGGAGAGTGGAGGTACCGGTCTTGGATCTTACAATACTTTCCCATAGTTCCTTGGCACTTGTGATGTGTATGAATGGTCTCCTTTGCTTTTCAACCATACCTCTCCTTATACACATGGTTGTGGTGTCATTGAGATTCTTGTCATAAATTTCTCTTGGTGTAGGGTTCTTTGGATCAACCACATGGTAACCATACTCCAAGATCTCCAACATCTCATCATTTCCATATCGAAGATGATCCTGCATAGCAACTCTCCACAAGGCAAAATCGGAAGTGGCATAAGTAAAGGAGGTTTGCCTTGAGGGTTATACTTAGGTTTCTCTATTTGAGGTCTTGCATAGAGCCAAGGAACACTGGAGTGTTCATTGCTAGGAGGTTGTTGGCCAAGTGAAGAGGTAGGCACAGCTGGCCTCGAGGCCGCACCACCAGAAAGTGGTGCGAGCATTGTGGTTAGTGTGGCTAACCTCATTTGGACCAAGGCATCATGCTCCTCCTTTTGCTTAGCAAGAGCTCGTTCCAGATCCTCTGAAGTGAAGGACTTGGCTTCCGTGGAAGCCACGCCCGTATTCTTCGGATCTACAACAAGGGGAGTCCCATCGGGGTTCATCTCGCTCTAGGGCGGTTAAGCCACAAGAATAGAGCACGAGGCTCTGATACCAATTGAAAGAATCGAGATGGACCTAGAGGGGGGGGGGGGTGAATAGGTAAAGAAGCCGAAGCTTTCTGTCTTTGTCTTGTGTCTCTTCTCTCGAGAGATATATGTATATATATTTTTATGTCTGTAGTCATGATCCACACACCGCCCTTGAGACATAATCCTGAGATATACTTGATAAACATGATTAGTCCCAACATGCATGTTGTCATCAACATCAATATATGATTAAGGGCATGATTGCACTTTCACAGCCGCACCCCAAGAGCACATCTCCACGCCACGTCACTGCCTCTCCTCTCCCTCGCATCCCTCTTCCTCTCCGTAGTGTTTAGCGAAGCTCTGCTGAGATTCCGCCACCACGTCGTCGTGCTGCCGGAGGACTCGAGCTACTATTTCACCATCGCTCGTTGTATCGAGGAGGTGAAGGCGTCATCAAGCCATACGTGTGTTGAACGCGGAAGTGTGCGGTGCCGCACACATGCATGGATTCAACATCCATCGGGGCTTCCATGATCCACCTAGTATCGTTGACGATGAAGCTAATCGAGCTAAGAGAACCTCGCTATCGGGGGACAACTCCATGCCAAAAATCGAAGAAGACAAAGACTCCAATTGCACCATCGATTGCGAGATGTGAAGTCCCAAGGTGGGCACGAACTATCGTGGGAAGATCCTGACAATACGAGTAAGGGGCAGGGAAGTAGCCGAATCACGCTAGTCACAAGCGTGACACGAAGAAGTTTTTACATGTATGAGCCCCTTTTGGCGGAGGTAAAACCCTACGTCCTGTGCTTCAGGAGCTTTTTCTTTGCGTATGGATGTGGGGTTACAACATGTCCGAACCCTTGTTTCAGTGGAGGAGAATGGCTTGTCAAGAGTGCGCCAGGACCCCATCTTCTACGTTACAGGGGATTAATTATGGAGTTTATCCGTGTCCACTATGAGAACTACTAATAGACACATTAACTATATGATGTATGCCCAAGTAATTATTGCGTCGGTTCGGTTATTGCTTCCCGTTGTTCCACTCCCTCTATCACCCGAATAGGTAACCCCGTCACCAACTGCGACCACGTGCCGACTTGCTTCTCACCATCCACTTGGCGGTCTCCCCCTTATTTTTATGGTTGTTTTTTGGACGTGTTTGTGCTCATGCCTCAATAGACCTTTTTTTGCGCTACGACGTTTGAACTTGCTGTATGGTTGTGATGATTGCTCCATTTATAAAGCGGGGCAAAAGCGGGTTCACGACGAATGTTCCGATCAAAATAGCATGTTCTTGCACAGAAGATGTGCACGCCACAACCGTTCCAAGGAATACACCTCTCCCAAAACGAGACGCGTCTAATGGCAAGTGGGCACAAGAAGCTTCTACGCCCATGGACTTTCCAGAAATGCTCGAACATCCCCTCCCACCCATCAGAAAGCACATGCGCACAGACCAAACGCGCTGCATGCCGGGTCCATCGGTGTAGATGCGGCTTGCCCGAGCGCTTGCGGCAACGAGGAACCGCAGACCATTGTAATGCGCGGTACATGACATACGGTTGACAGAGCAGAGTATCAGAGTCATCGGCGCGGAAGTGCGCGACGCACGCACGGGCATGGATTCAACGTCCTGTGGGGCTTCCATGATCCATGTAGAATCATTGACGATGAAGCTGGTCGAGCCGAGAGAACCTAACTGTCCAGGACCATCTCCATGCCAGAAGTCGAAGAAGACGAAAACTCCACTTGGAACATCGTCTGCGAGATGTGTAGTCCCAAAATGGGCGCCAACTGTCGTGGGGAAATCCTGTCAGCACGAGTGAGGGGGTAGGGAAGTAGCTGAATCACGCTAGGCACAACTGTGACACAAAGAAGTTTTTGCACGTGTGGACCCCTTTCGGCGGAGGTAAAACCCTAGGTCCTGTGCTTCGGGAGCTTTTTCTTTGCGTATGGATGTCAGGTTACAGTGTGTGTGAACCCTTGTTTAAGCGGAGGAGAATGGCTTGTCAAGAGTGCGTCGGCACCCCATAATCCACGCCACAACAAACACCTTAACTATATGACATATGCCAAGGTAATGATTGCGCCGCTTCGATTACTGCTTCCGGCTGTTCCACTTCCTTTATCACCCGAATAGGTAACCCCGTCACCGACCGCGACCGCATGCCAACTTGCTTCTCACCCGCTGCCTGGTAGTCTCCCCCTCCTTTTATGGTTGTTTTTTGGACGTGTTTGTGCTGACGCCCCAACTGACTTATTTTATTTCCGTTTGCGACGCTTGAACTTACTGTATGGCCGTGATGATTGCTCCATTTATAAAGTGGGGCGAAGCGAAACCGACGGGCGTTCCAACCGAAATAGCACATTCCTGCACAGAAGACGTACTCCACACCACCAGCCGTTCCGAGGAATGGAGTACGTCTCTCCCAAAACGAGACGCGTCCAACGACAAGCCGGCACAAGAAGCTTCTACGCCCCTGGCCTTTCCGGAAATGCCCAAACCGCCCCTCTCCGCCCATCAGAAAGCACAGGCAGAACGCACCGCACAAGGCCCGGCCGGTGGGCAGGGAAAGCACGCGCAGCCACAACCACGCCCGCTGACACCCCGGGCCCACGCTCCCCCTCTCACCGCGCGGGCGAAGCGGAGGCACCCCGCGGCCAATGGGAGGCGGGCGTCCGGATCGCTGACGTGGCCGGAAAATTTCGAGGCATCCCGCGCAAGCTCCCGCCCCCGCACCCTCCCGCCTTTAAATCCCGCCGCCCTCCCTCCTCC